TGAGGCCCGAATGAGAGAATACCAAGAATGGGAGGATAAGAACTCCCTAGCCCGCTGCTATATCATAGCATCTTTGGATGATCCGATACAGAGGTAGTTCGATTAGATTGAACTCGCTAAAGACATATTGGATAGTCTGAAAATTATGTACGAAGAGCATAATCGTTCTACTCGATAGAAGGTCCTAAAACAGTTCATGACCGCGTAGATGACTAAGGGGCAGCAAGTGCATGACCATTGTATTCGAATGATGAGCTACATAAACGAGCTGGAAGCCCTTGGTTCTGGGCTAGATCTGGTCATACAGATCAATGTTATTCTCAACTCTCTGCCTCTGTCCTTCAACCCATTCATTATGAATTATAATATGAACAAGCTGAATGTTAGTGTCCAAGAGCTCAGCAATATGTTGCAAAGAGATGAGGAATTAATAAGGAATGATGAGCCGATAGCCATGCTTGTTGAACCTGGCAAATCCGGCAAGAAGAGGAAATCAAAGAGAAAGCCCCATAAGAAGGCCACCAAATCTAAGAAACAAAAGAAAAACAAGGCATCCGATGCCTGTCACTTCTGTAAGCAGGCCGACCACTGGAAGATGAATTGTTCTGCCTACCTGGAATCTAAGAAAGATAGTTTCGAAACTTGTGTCATAGAAACTAATTTATTAATGACATGAATGTTATAGGTTGTATTGCCCAATTACCCTTTTGTTATCAAACAACTAGGATCTCTTGCTTATTCCTCATTAGAAGCTTTCTCCATTGGTAGCAATCAATACCTTTGACATGCACCCTTCCCGGCTCCTCTATTCCCAAATCCTTAACCTGAAGACATGCCCATTCTGGCCGTGTTACGGTGGCATGTTAATGGCCATGCTTTTTCTAAAAGGATTCTTAGGGCAAGTTTCTACTAACCTACTATGGTTAAAGGCCATAATGATTTCGTAAAATGTTGTCATCTTACTCTCCCCTCATACATCCACTAACTGAATCTCTACACGATGTCACTATACGTTACATATATTCTACTTTTAGGCTCTTGATATTGTTAAACCTTTCTAACCCTCTAATAGTAATAAATTCATAATCCCAACTATGAATTATTTTACTAAAAGGGTAAAATTTGCCCCTTTAAAGTTTAAGGATGCAAAATCCATAACATCTCTTATGTTGTTATAACATCCCTGAATCCATTGTCATTAATAATGGAAAACCATTTGACAATAAAGATATAGATGAACTATGCAGTACCTACCTCATAAAGCATCATTTCTCAACAATTCATAATCCCCAATATAATGAACAAGTTGAAATACTTCATGGTAGATTAAAGCCCACAAACACTCTACAGCATCTACCACATCAAGCATCATTTTGACAAATTTTCCAAGATTATTTGGCAGTGATCTGAACTCATAAATACTTCATGGTGGATTAAAGCCTCCCCAATACAACAACATTTAACTAAAGTAGGATATCAGTTTGGTCTTTCCTTAACATTTGCATCACCATGCCTCTTGTTCATCCACATGAACATTGGACCTTTCCATTCTAGATCGATTAGATGAGAATCATCTATCATATCGTTGAAGGTGTTTAGCTGATTTATTGATTTCAAGTTGCCCCACCTTCTCCAATTGTTACCTAACTTTGTTGAAATCTCTTGTCACTAACCATGGAAGTTGTACCTTATCAATTATTGCTTTGATCTCATTCCAATACTAAATCCTTTTCTCCTGCATTGGGTTGTCTTATATATGAAGGTGTCATGCCAAGAAACATATAATTCTTTCTAGAGAATAATAATGTTAATTATTGCATCAACCCAAACACTTGCTTATATCCACTAATTCCTACCATGCTACTATCAAGCCCTTGGTCCTATCAATTGGATCCACTGCTATATAGCCTGAGGATGCAAACTTTTCAAAGCATTTAATTTATGGGTTTAGAGGAAAAGCATCAATGCATAAACTGTTTAGGACCACTCTAGTTCCTAGCATTTCTAATATAATTTACTTATATTGATTGGTAACCTTGATCCCCACCAAGGTTGTCTTCTTCTTAGTTGTATAAGTTGTTGCCAAACTTCCTACCCCCTTTTCAACTCCACTTTTCCTCAACCTCTATTTGCTATGAATACTCTAATTTTGGAACTTCCTCATCTTTCTCCTTTCATGTATTTCTAATGTCCCCAAGGTAGATATTATCCATCTCTAGGAATCTTCTCTCCTTAATTCCTTTAAAATTCTTCTTTACTCCTATCCTTGCTTGCTCTAGTTTGTACCACCCTAGTCCCATAATGACTAAGCCCCTACTCCAACTTAAGTACCTATACTAGTTTGGATGTTGTAATTCGGGGTGGGTTCAAGTCGAGTTGGACCAAATATCTGGTTATTTAAGCTTGGATAAGTAGAAACACATAAGGTTTGAATTCGGGCTCAAGCTTGATTTTAGTTAGAAACATGAACTTCAATTTAGCTTGACTTAAAAGCTCATATGTTTATTAAGCTCATTAGTGAGCCAATCTTCATATAAAAATAAAAAATAATTATACATATAAAAGTTAAATAAAAAATAAAAACTATACATATAAAAAGTTAAAAGATATACATATAAAATGATTTTTATTATTATATATATATAAAACATTAAAATATTATATACTATAAGCTCAATTTGCCTTGCGAGCTTCACAACATAAAAAGCTTAGTTCATGTCCACCCTTAATCATAGTGATGGTGTATAATTGGTGAAATTATTTATATGAATTGGCCTCCACCTATTATCCTTGGGATGTCTATCATCTTTATTTTTTGGCTAATTGGGGATGAATATCATCAAAAGGAGCTTCCCTTTCACTTATCTAGGAGCTCCGATTGGAAGGAAATAGCCTAAAAGAAGTGATTTTGAGTTGTCATTGAAAATTTCAAAAAAGGATTGAAGGTCGGAAGGCGAGACTCCTCTCTTCAGGTGGTAAAATAATCCTTATTAGGCATGTGCTTAATAGCATGCCCATACATATCCTAAGTTCGATGTCCACGCCTAAGGCAGTAATCCACCGTATACATAAAATGCTAGCTAACTTCTTCTGGGGAAGCTCTGAATTTGGATCTAAATACCATTGGCGAAGTTGGGATTTTGTGTGTAAACCATGCGAGGAGGGGGTCTAGGAGTGCGATCCCTCTTTGAGATGATAAAATCTTTTCGGGTAAAGGCTTGTTTCAAATTGATTGAGAACAAGAATCTATGGGCTAGATTTTTTATAGCTAGACACCTTGGTGATAATCACTTGGCAATGGAAAATTTTAAAGCAAACTCGACTCGATATCCTTTTGGCATAAAAAAAAAATGGTCAGATATGGGCCCTTTGTGTAATTTTACTAGTAACAATAGTCTAATTGACTTCAAAATTAATGAAGTTTTGGGTACTAGTGGATCATGGTCTTTTCCAGATAATTTTAATGTGGGAACGGAGATCCAAGACATTGTTATAAACTCTGGTTTAAGGCTCTCTAATAATAGGGATTTTCTAGTGTGGATGAATAATTAAAATGGTGAGTTTAATGTTTCTTCGGCATGGGAGCTCACAAGGACTTTAGGCACTAATGCCAGCTGGAACAAGCATATTTGGAAGGTAAATCTCCCTACAAAAATATCAGACTTAATGTGGAAAAGAGGTGTTGGATGATGGTATTAAAAGAAAAAAAAAGGTGTCTATGGCATCAAAATGCAAATGCTGCAAATCCACCTTTTCTTTACAGGGGTTTTAGCTTCAAAGTGTTGGAGTTACTTTGCTAATACATTTGACATTAATATTTATAGATCACAGCATATTCAGGACCGGGTTAAAAATTGGTGGACTTTATGTGAAAGAAATAATCAACGAAATCAGATTTTAAGATTGGTTCCTTCTATTATTCTGTGGGAAATATGGGTTGAGAGGTGTCAAAGAGTTAAATGTTGGCCTAGTCAACTAAATAATATGATATGGCACCATGACCTAGTGTTGCTGATCATAACACCTCTTGGGCCACTTGCCTTTAAATTCTTGTTAAAAATGTCCCTTCGAGATGTATTAAATGGATAATGTGGAAACCCCCACCACAAAACTATATTAAAATTAACACTGATGGAGCATGTAGAGGCAACTTGGGTTTGGGTGGGGGTGGTGGGTCATTAGAGATTGTGATGGAAATTTCAATGCTAGCTTCTCTTGTTTCTACGAGCATTGTACCTCCTTGGAAGCGGAAGTTAAATCTCTTCTAAATGGTCTTCAACTATGCTCAAATCTCAATTTGAATAATATTTTGGCTGAGAGTGATAACATGGTCTTAGTGAACCTCCTAAATTCAGGTTTGATGATTCCTTGGTGTGTGTATTAGAAATTTATCAATTGGCAGCCCAGCATAGGATTTCTTTTAATCATATCTACAGAGATGCTAATTGTGTGGTAGGTTATTTTGCGAATTTTGGAATAGATAGTTCCTCAAACGCCTATTTTTACTCAATCAATCAAATATCCATACAATTAGATCTTTAATCCGCAAAGATAACTCTGGTTTACCAATTCCCAGGTACATATCATGTTTTTCCTTTTTTTTTGTGTCAGATGGTTTTTTTTTTGAGAGATTAGGGAGTGTTCCTTGTACTTTGGGCTTGGGGAAAGGCGGGGCTATGTCCTCCCCTGTATCTTTTTGATAGCGATTTGCTTTTAATAAAATTTTAAGGTGGCTCCTCCTCCACCTAGAGTAAAGTTTGGGGCTACAAAAAAAATATCATCAAAACTTCTTTTGTTAGACCCTATCAATCTAGTTATTAAATGTGTCAAGTGGAGAGTATTATAGACAAGAGGGGCTATAGAATGTGGACAACCAACATTTTCTTAGCATGTGTTTAGCTGTATTTTTCTAATTCTTTCCTTCTTTCTACTTTTTACTTCAATTCGTTGTTGTTTTATGTTTATAAAATTAACTTTATAGAGAAAAGAGAGGGGATTACCTTTGATTATTTTGCTTTCTTCACTTTCTTTACTTTTTTCATATTCTTTGCTTTCTTGCCCTGCCTTTTCATATTTCATCTAGAAACGAAAGACATGAAAAATGTTAAAAGTGAAAGAGACAAATAAGGAAAATAAGATAGTGATATTTAGCTAGTGAAGGTAATAATCAAATTAAACATATCAAGATAAAAGATGGACTCAAGACATAACCTCCTCAAATGTATGAATGATTTTGTGCAACTTTTTTATTGACTAAAATTCCTACTTTTGAATTTGGTCCTCCTCTAATTGTGAGAGTAGAAAATGTAATTTTAATTACTATTTTTCAGCATAAAGGATCAAAGCATCAATACTACAAGACGTTATGTATCACTATCCAAAGTCACTAATACTCTAAATACTATGAATTAGGTTATTTTAATAAAACTCTTGATAAACATTTTTTTCATATTGAGTGTTGATACTTTAAATTTGCTATACATGTCATTCAATTCCCTCTCACTAAGTTTTATGTTGAAGGTATGAACATCCATTATCCCTCATTAAATACTATATTTAAGGTATACTTTTTTCATCAATAAATTCTACTAATTAGATATGTATCTAATACTTTTGACAATATAAAATCCATGTTTCTTAAAATCGACCCAAAAAATAAAATAAAATTTCCTTTCAATTTGCAAGTAAGCAATTAAATCAACCATCTGGGTCAAATGGGTAAAACAACGATGTCATAGACTCATAGTTAAATAATAAAAATTCTTAAATATAAATAAACACAAAAAACTACAAAAACAAAAAAAAATGTAGAAAATGTAAGCACATCTCTAATATTTTATATTAATCATATTAAAAAAATAAATCTAATAAACAATAATTGTTTTTTATTACAGATGGAAATAAGTTACAAATTTAAAGTTGACCCAAAAATGAAATTATTTTCTCATTTGGTAGTGGGCCAGCAATTCAATATTTTAGGTCAAATGTGTTAACCCTTGATGCCATAATTAAATAATAAAATAAACAAAAAAAATAGAAATTTTGTAGAAAACATTTGGGCACATCTCTATTATTATATATTTATCATGTTAAACAAAAATAAGTGTTATAAGTATTGATTTTTTATATAAAAAATAGAATTTTCTTAAACTTTCTTTTTTTTTGTTTTAATGTTGTTGGAAAATGAGTATGAAATTTATGTTGGCAGCAATATGGTAATATCAATTTACCAAAAGTAGAACAACAATAAGTTTGTGATGATCAAGTTTAATCTACAAAATCATAAAGAGTTAAAGAGCACTTATTGGTAATAGTTGAGGCACATGGAAATTTTCATTGTCCTTAAAACCGATTTTGATACCTCTAGCAATGTCTCCATTAGTGCAAAAGTTTTCTAGAAGTTGGTCTCCAAGATATAATAACTCTCAACCTTAGCATTATGTGCATTCACCGCCCAAAACAGCAAACCGGTTTGTTACAAATGCCTAAAATAGTGGATAAAAGAATGGTAAAGGGAGATTAACAACCAGACCAGTTTGGAAGAATCAATTTGCATTGAAGTCAACTTGAAGAGATGGTTACAAAATGTGCTTGAGAGAAAACCTCCAAAATTATTACCAAAACATAAGAAAACATGACAAAAAATTAGGAGAAAAAACAAAAGCATGGGATTTCACACACAAACATCCCAACCCAGCCCACCTAACCCAGTGTATGCATGTGTGTGGTGGTTTAGAAGTCAAGGAGGGTAGTGCTCGGTCGTGACTAGGCGTGGAAGAGTTCAATGGTCCTCAGCTGAGGAACTTTAATTTCTTCAAGTTGACTGACCCAAAGTAGGGCCAATTTGTTAGGCGGACCGCCCAGTTCAACGCTCGTACCATTTCTGAGACAGGTTGGCAGACGCGTCATTTTGTCTTCCTAAGGTTATGCACATGTGAAGTGCGGCTTCGAATCGGTGTCGTTGATTTGGTTTGGTCTAAACCGTTGGATGCCTTTATAAAAAGGGGTAGGCAAGCCATTTTACTTTGTCATTTGAGAAGATTTTGTGCCTTAGAGTTCAGCTAACGTGCCTTGGTTGATATCTCAAGTGTCCCGAACTTCTTCTTTTTTTCTTTGGTAAGATGTCTTTCACTTCGTCTTCCTTGTCTTCCCTTTTCAGTAAGTACACTTCGGGGGGTGAGAGTGAGGGCAGTCCTCAATGTGAGGCGACCGAGGTTAGGGCGCTGGAGACCGATGCCAATATGGCCAAGGTTAGTGACAAGAGCTATGCTGAGGTCCGAGAGATTGGTGTCGACGAGGCAGCCAAGGCCAATGTGGAGTCTGAAGAGCGGTTTGTCTCAACTTTGTGTAACCTTTCCCTGGCCAACCCGGCTCAGATCCGGAAAGTGTATCACATTCCCAAGGAGTAGGAATTGAGGTGTCCTGTGATCGTGGAGAGGGCCACTTCGGTCCGTCCCGAGGAGATTTGTGTATATGTCCACAGTTTGATAGCCAGCCTTAGGTTCCCTTTAGATCCCGGGGTAGTGGCCATCCTGAGGTGGTATTGGGTCCTTCCTATTTAGTTGATGTCAAACTCATTTCGATACCTGGTCAGGCTGCTCTTCTACTACACTCTTAAAGACATTGAGATCACCCTACCGATGTTTAGATATTTTCTCCACTTGAAAAAGCACAAGAAGGGGCACTACTACTTGTCTATCAAGCTAAACACCAAGGTAATTGTTGGGTTCCCTCTTCCATAAAGTATTAGAAAGAGTTTTTTTTTTTGTGAAGTGCTGAGGAGGTTGGCCATTCTCCCTCGCCCTATCCGTTTCAAGGACCAAGGGTAAGGGTCCTTCCTAGATCGAGCTGTCGAAGGAGGAGATAGCTTCTATGAGGAGGATAGTGTGGGTGCACATCGGGGACTATACATCGTCCAAATTGTTGACCTTGGCTAGGATGATGTACGCGATCTCAAGGAGGCGCGAGATGCACTGAAGAGGGGGCTCAAGGAGGTTAAGGAGAAGATTGCTCGGGCGGAGGAGGAGGGTGTCTCCAAGTATAGGGCTTTAGAGGCCCATCAGAACGAGCGGGATGACTATGCTACTGACTCTTGGTAGGAGGGATTCGCACTCTATTAGTAGAGGGTGATAAGTCAGTTCCCGGAGGTGGCCAAAGTCATTCAGGGATTTGGCCCATTTGATGCCAAAAAGCCTGATGGTGGGGATGCCATTATTGCCTACGTCCAGGAGCAAGCCAAGGATCCTCCAATGGACAGTTGATGTTCTCTTTTTTTTCTCTTTGTTGTATACAACTCGGTATGTCGAGATTACAATCAATGTATCAACTTTTCATTAATGGATTTTTAGCCTTTCTACCAAGCACTTTCTATGTTGCTTTTTTCTTTTTTCTTTCAAGTTGTTGTGCTTTGGAGTTAGGTTGATTGGTAGGGAACATAGGTTGTGCTTTTTTATTTGGCTCTTGGGATAGTCAAAGTTTTGAACTCTATGTTGTGGCCTCGATCTCATATTGGTCGAGGTCTTCGGTCTTTGTTGGATGAGGTCTTCGGCTTAGTGGCATCAGTCTTTGGTCTTCACTAGCTGGGATCTCCAGCTTAGTAGCCTCAGTGTTATACTTTCCAAGGTCTTGGGTCTTCGTTGTTCGAGATCTCCGGCTAAGTAGCCTTGGTCTTATATTGGCCGAGGTATTAGGTCTTCACTATCCGAGATCTCTAGATTAGTAGCCCTGGTCTTATACTGGACAAGGTCTTAGGTTTTCGTTGGTCGAGGTCTCCGGCTTGTTGGCCAAGGTCTTAGATATTTGATGGCCGAGATCTCCGACTTAATAGCCGATATCTTATGTTGGTTGATGTCTTAAATCTTCGCTGGCCGAGGTCTCCAACTTAATAGCCTCGGTCTTATGCTAGTTGAGGTCTTAGGTCTTTGTTGGCCAAGATCTCCGGCTTAGTAGCCTTGGTCTTATGCTAGCCGAGGTCTCTAGCTTAGTAGCCTTGGTCTTATATTGGCCGAGGTCCTAGATCTTCGCTGGTCGAGATCTCCGGCTTTACTAGCCTCGATCTTTGTTGGCCGAGGTGCTTCCAAGCTTTCAATGTTGTCAGGGAGCTTAGTGGTACCTGGTCCTGGAGAGATTCACGCTTTTTAGCTGGGCTAGCCACGATCATCGGTTAGCTCTATCCCAAATGCAAGTCGGTTGGGTACGCAGAGTTTGATAGTTGTCCTCTTGCCGTTGTGGCGGGGATGTCATTCCCACGATGCTCGATGGGGGGCTTGTTTTGGCCTTGACCGTCTATGGTCAGTCGAGTCTTTCATGAGGTGGTCGTCGCGCTGCAATTGTTGGCCAATGTGGAGTTCAACCATTGGAGTTCGGCTAGGCTGTACATGGGCATTTGGTCATTTGTGCTTGAAGATGATTCTTTATTTATTGAACTTGTACAACTCGATCGCAATTAATGCTCGACGCCAATCGTCATCAGTACATTTGTCCTAGCACTTCAACTCCTCGAGGTAGTTCTTTCGTGCCTAGTTTCCCCTTTTAAGGGTCGTCCTGACCGAAGGAGCTCAAGCTGGGGGCTCGTCGACGCGGAGCGGTTCTTCTCTATGCTTATGTTCTTTGATGTCAATGAATCCACAAAGGTATCCATGTCAAACAAAGTCTTCCAAGTGGTGGCGAAGGTTGTGGCAGCTCTTGGTGTCGTGGTCGTGATCACGGTGGAAGTTGCAAAACTTGTCTCAATTTCTCTTGTTGCTCTGTATCTTCATCTTTTTGGGCCACCTAACGAAGTTGCAGTCGCGGATCTGCATCAATATGTGAGCCCGTGGAGCATTAAGTAGAGTGAAGTTGTGATACGTCAGCGGTGGGGTCCTCGGTTTGTGGTCAGGTCGACGGTCCTGTCTTTTACTGTCTCTGTCCGATCTACACTCCTCATTGTCTTTTCTCTTCTATTAATGTTGGTCCTCTTCACTCCTTTGTAGTGCTTGGGCTTCCTCGGCATTCATGTACTTCTGTGTATGTCTCATGAACGCAGTCAAGTTGGGCGGAGGATTCTTTTGCAAAGAAAAGCTAAATATTGAGGAGCACAGTCCACTCATGATGGTTGTCATAGCCATTGACTAGTCATGGGCTCAAACCTAGAGGGCCTCAGCATTAAACTTCGCCAAGTATTCCCTTAAAGTCTCACCTTTCCTCTATCGCACTTGCATTAGGCTAGCCAATGTCTTCTAGTGCCTTTGGCTAGTGGTAAATTGTGCTAGGAACTGCGTCTCTAGCTGCTCCAAGGAGGATATGGACCACGGAGGAAGGGAGACATACAAGGTTCTAGCGACTCCGTGGAGGGTGGCAACAAAGGCCTTGCACATAAGACATTCGGAAGAGTCGTGCAGGATCATTATCGCCTTGAACCCCTCAATGTGGTCATTGGGGTTTGAGGCTTCGTCATACTTCTTGAACTAAGGAGGTCACATCCGGATTAATCATCGTCGATGATCTCTTGGATGAAGACAGGCTCTTTGGAGGGTTGTTGATCGTGGTGTTGCTCAGTTGGTTGAGTCATCAAAGGGGCAGCACTTCTGTCCAGTTGGTTGCATTCCAGCTCAGCCAACTCCTCTCTCAGTTCTTTGACCTTTGTGTCTCTGTCAGCTGTGACCATGTTCATAGACTTCTCCTTTTTTGGGATCACAGGCCGATCTCGGACCGAGCTGGATTCGGCTATCAAGATTAGTGGCTGTTGTAGACATTGGTCGAGCCGTTCTTTCACCAGTACTCGGGTGAAGCAATGGGATCTATTGCGGGCGTCGTGTGTGCGAGACCGAGCTGGGGAGCCAATTCTTCTATATGGTTGTAGTCGTTCTCAGTCAGATTGGGCCCCGTGCGTGTCTGCATGGCCCCTTTTGGGGTCCTCGGTGTGAGGATCGACTATAGTAGGCACCCAAGTGGCTTGAGGGCATGAGATGGTTGCCCCAGCATCTCCATCATGGCTAGGATACGGTCGACTTTCTGCAGCATGGCTTGGAATTGCTTGGGGTTGATCATGGTTTGATGCTAGGGCTCTTGAGGTGGAGAGTTGCAAAGTGAGCGGGATCCCCGAGATGGGGAATGGCCTCTAGAGCAATCGGATGTGTTTCTAAGAATGTTAGCTTTGAGTGCGCAGAAGGATGTTTGGGAAATGACTTTTTGTATGTTTCCCACAAACAGCATCAATCTGATGTTGTCCGATTCGAAGTGTTCCGAATCGAAGAAACAATCAAATAGTCCTGCCAACTGGCTGAGGCTGAGGTGAAAGGATGGAAACGGGCAACAAGATCTACAACCAAGAGAAAGGTCAAAGGCCCGAGGAGTTATTCCCTGGATAGGTACTCCAATGCTCAAGTTCCTCCAAAGGTCCGAGCCGAAGAGATAGTGTAAGAAGTATTCAAAGAGTGTTCTTCCAAAAGTCCCTAACCTCGAGCGGGGAATACCTATTTATAGTTGGGTGTTCGTGGTCCAAATAAAACGGTCTTCTGGGATTATCGGGATGAGGTCATCCATCAAGGTTTTCAAGATGTTCCCTCTTCCTTGGCAAAGTCTGCTTCCTTGTTTGTACAAAACACTCCTTGGTAGTACTCTTCCGTTACATGTGGAGTCGATGCGGCTTGAGAGAGAGGATAGCTATGAAAGTTGCCACATGGCATCCTTAGCCAGCTCAACCATCATCCAAACATTAATAAGTGAGAACACACAAAAATACATCTTTAACACTTTTAATTTGAACCACACACACAAAACTAACCTTATATGGACCAACATAATATGTGGAGATACCTTGTGGATAATACATATTATCAAATATTGACAACCAAAGTTTTCTCCAAAAGAGTATAATATAGGTATGCAATATGCTAAAAACCAGAAAGCAACCATCTCAACTCTTAGGTCATTGTATGCTTATACTTAAGATGATCACTTATAAACTAGTCCGGATCCACATCGAGCACAAACACAATGCGGGCCCAATCCGATATGTAAGGCCGGGACCAGACAATGATACCAGAAAAACTTATAACCAATTAATCAGCATCATAAAACTGGTAATCAATAAATAATCAGGTGGCTTTCCCCAAAATTCATGACAGGTTTTGATGATTGGTTAAAGTTTTTCCGGTATCAGGTCTTTCCGACATCATAGGTTTTTCCACTATAACAATTGTATATATAATTTAATAATCTTTTAATAAATTAATAAAATCTTTTCTCAAACTGATAATTAGTAAGAACTAGGAGGACTAGTTTCATAGCCTTACCTCCAACCTGTCCCAAGCTTCTTTGGCTGATGATAAGATAGCGATCTCCGAGAAAATTTTTTCATCTACAGCTCGAAAAATATAGAACAAGGCCTCCGAGTCTTTGCTTTGAACCTGTTTATTATCTTTTGTTGGTATTCCTCCTTCAACAATTTCCCATAAATCCTTGGATTTGAACATGGCTTTCATCTGAGTTTTCCAATATTGAAACTTTTCCCCATTAAACCTTGGAAGTAGCAGCTGAGGCTGAAGCTGAAGCATACCATCGGAATGCTCCATTGATCATTGAAGGAGGACAACCAGTGCTCTACCAAATATGGATCCTATCAAAGTATATATGGGTATTCATTAATAAACAGTTACAACAACGCAACTTATCTAAATTACTCTGGTACAGAACAAAACCTAATTAATTCCTAAGATAATATTTCTGTTCATTTGTACATGCATGTGATCAAATTGAGAAGAGCAAATAACTAAAACTATATTATATGTTTTCTTTATAATATGAAGCAATTGTTAGAGAATATCAACCTATTCAAGGACTTCACCTAATACTGATAGTTTAAACTTTTAGGTTGAATGGTTCTTTGAAATGGTATGAGAGCCACTTTGATCAAGCGATCTAGTGTTCCATCCCCATTACATTATAATTAATTAAGTTTCAATACAAGGTATGGACGGGCCTGTGCATGTTCACAGTTCAGGCCCAATGGGCCCTCTTGTGAGGGAACGTGTTAGAGAATATCAACTTATTCAAGGACCTTACCTAATAGCTTAAGCTTTTAGGTTAAATGGTTCTTTGAAAACAATAATTACAATTTAACATAAATTGCAAATTTAAATTACTCATATTTTTCCAATGTGGGCAGAAGGATTAATTTTGTTTTCTTTGGGGATAATCTTGGTCTCAGGAAGCAGCAGTAGTTAAAATTGGTGCCCGTTTGGGAGGGCTGAAGTGCAATGGCTTTTCAAGAGAATGTTGTTTTTGGAAAAATAAAATATTTGGGTTTTCCAAAATTGGTTGTTGAATGTGATGCCAAGAATGTTGTAAGTGTTATTTCTTCAAAGTCTTTTGATGCAATCCCAATTGTATGGCAGTTACTGGTTCTTATTTTTTATATCTTAGATGATAACGTCAAATTTTTACTTTGTTGATCGGTAGGGATGGAAATAGTCTACTCCATCTTTGGTTGCAATCTCAAATCTGGCTAATTTATTTATAGGTATTATTCGAGTCAGATCACTACAAGAAAAATGGTCTAAGCCGGCGATCACAAATTGCAACCACCAATCTGGTTAATCTTCCTCTTTAGCAAGCTTTGGTTTTCAGATTAGATTACTGTATGTCTGTTGTGTTCTGTTTTTTCGTTGTAAGTTGTTTCTTTGGTCCTTTGTGTTTTCTTGTAACTTTAGTTCATGGAAAATCCTTTCTACAACAACCAAGATGAAAACGATATCATTTATCAAATTTAATTAATTACTTTTTCATCCCCTCCCTGAAGGGAAATTATTTGGCTGCACCCCTCTATCAAAACATTTACTTCAATAAAAAACCAAGGGAGGTACTAGGCTCCATTTGTGTGCAGTTCAAATCTGAATTGGATTCAAATTAATTAACCGTACATTGTTCAAATCTGTATCTATTTGTCTATAATTATGAATGATTAAATGAAAATTTATATTTATCAACAAAAACCTTAGCAACAAGAAGTTTTAAAATAAGAACTATGATGAAATATATATATATATAATATACAAATTTAATAATAATAGGAGTGCAAACTAAAATTAGAGCAGGATAGGCAAAATGGAGGGATGCATTCGGTCTTATGCAATAGGGAAATACCACTTAGATTAAAAAAGAAAATTCACTAAAACATCTATAAGGCCAATTATACGGTATGTAATAGAGTGCTAGGCAGTTGAGAAACGAGACATGTCAAAAAAATAAATAAATGTGGCAAAAATGTCTATGCTGAGATAGATGAGTGAAAAAACTATAAATGATAGGATTAATTAAAAATGCGTGAAATCATTTGAAGAAACATTGGAGTGGCTCCAATAGATGATAAAATTAGATAAAGCAGACCATGATAGTTTGGATATTACCATTTACCGGCAAATGACCAAAATGATTTGGTCGCACGCATATTAGATCATTGAAGTAATCTATTGCAAGTTGAAAGATTTAGAAGAGGTTGAAGATAGATGAAAAAACAGAAAAGACATGGTTCATCATCAATGTAGTAAGAAATTATTTAAATGTTAATATCAGCATGTTAAGAAACTATTTACCTGTATGCTTGTAAGGAAGCTGCGAATGTCTTCTTTCGAGTTCGTCCTTGAAGCAAAGCCAGCGTTTGTAAACAATATAATGATTTACCACACCACTCAAAAGCTCAAAAGCTCTCTCGGTTTATTCAATAGCTTGTCTTGTACACAGAATATCTTAAAGCCAAAAGCAAAAAGCAAAAAGCAAAAAGATCCGGAATGCTTTAAGTATTGGGGTTTGGATTGTAAGAAAAGCTTGGCCTTGAGTTGTATTAACCTTATGAAAGCTCCCATACGATACGGTGCTTTTCTTTTTGCAGGTATGATAAATCTCAGATCTTCTGTCTACAAATGTATACACCGACCTAAATGATATTATTAGTAGGTTAATATAAAAAATCACTCCATCCATCCATATATAACAAAAATTTATGGCTTTTATTATAAGTTTACAACGAATAGTTATGGCATCTTTAGGCTTAGATGTTTAGTATAAGAGCCCCATGCGATACACGGGTTGGATTTGCTTGATCATATTTAATAAATTATATATACTTAATATTTTATATCTTATATTTATACTATATTATATATATATATATATAAATTTTATTTTATTTTATTTTATATTAAATGTTTATTATTTAGATAAGATATATAAAAATCTTTTTATCATATGATAATACATGAGTCAACTCAAATATCAGAGCTGCCCTCCAAGGCAAGGCCTTTTGGGAATGTTTCTTAAGCAATGTCCATTGGAGCAACACTCAAGTCCGGGAATGAAGGCCTTGCCTTCACGGATAGATACAGAAACCAAACTAAACCAAGGTTAAGAATTAAATGAGTTCCATGCCTTATTTTTTGTGCTATAGGCCCAAAGTCTAACCAAGTCCAACTAAGTTTAGATTTATGCATTCTTTCTTTATGTATTATATGTTATTTAATTTAATTTAAAAATATCTAAATAATTAGGCTCGAAAAGCTTATAAGCCCAGCCCGGGCACATGCGAGGCTAGGCTTGGGCTTGCAATCTAGGCTCAGGGTGCAAGCCGGCCTGGGCCTAGGCTAAAGCCTTTATTATTAGTGAAAAATGCAGACCACCCATGTAGGGCTGTTCATAAGAAGACCCAACCCGACCAAATCGACCAAATCGGACCGACCCAACCTAAGTTGGTCGGGTTTTCTTCAATACTGGTTGGTTTCGGGTTGTAAAAAATTATAAATCGATGGTTCGGGTCGGTTTCGGTTTTCACAAATGAAAACCGACTTAGTAGTTAGTATTTAGTTCCTAGTTAGTAGTTACAACCTACTTAGTTCCTACTTAACTAAGTTGTCTCTATCCTAATTACAACCTAACTTAATTTCTAGTCTTCTAGTTAGGAATGACATTAATGGCAAGTATTGTAAGACAACTAGACAACCAATTACAATTATAATTAGGTGTCCTTTTTTACTTAGATTAGAAGGTTTCTTGAAATATACAAATTTCAGTCTTCTTTCTCTAATACAATTTGACATTCTATTTTCTTGATAACTTCTATTCTAACATGGTCCGCCCCCCTTAGTCCCTCAACTCAAGCACAATCTTCAATACAATTTGACTCTCAAGCATGGTTGAACTTAGAGCCGAAACCGACCCAAACCAACACAAACCGACTCAAACTGACTAGGTTGGTTTTGCTTAACACAGTGTTGGTTTCTGATGGAGGGTGATTTGACCCGATCTCCTAAGAAGGCGACACGTGGACGTGACTCAGCATAAGCAACAGCTCAGCATGACAGCCTGACTATGACTGAGTAGCGAGCTCGTTAAGGTCCTCGCAGGACAGCTCGCTAAGTTACAGCTCGCCATGGGATGAGCTCGCTACAATGCGAGCTCATGGACCCCGGCATGTGGAAAGGGAATACTCCAAGACAAGTCTATCCCAACTCGCGAGTTGAGAGAACTAGTTGACTCCAATACTTAGGCAAGAAGACTGCCCCAAAGGCAACCTCAGGTGGAATCACCCCGGGACACATCCAGGAGCTCGCTACAAGGCTTATGGGATAGCTCGTTGTTAAGCGACGTGGCATTCCCAGGAAGCTTCTTATCTGATGAGACCGTACCCATCAGATTGCATCATGTCTCCTGACTGACGACGCAGTCCTTTCCAATCTAGCAGACTGCACCCACGTCTCTCAACAGGTGGTGGCGTGTCTGTCCTTTCCGGGTCGTGTCACTGATCCGATTGGGTAGAACTCTACAACGGTTACCTGCGCAGCCCTGGCAAATAACGGCTACATCAGAGGTCCAGTGGCGATTACGCCCGATTTGACAAGAACACCCATATTTAAAAGCCCCAGGGTCGAAGGGGCAAAGGAACCTTATGTTAATCTCGAACTTTCATTGATCTAGCGCTACCTGCACTCTCAGCTCTCTTTGCATTCTTTACAGATCTCTCAAGTGTTCTAACTTAAGCATCGGAGTATTCCCACCGGGCAAGTTCCCCGGGAATCCTTCATCGTCTTCTTCTCAGGTACTGTCCGTCGCCAGCTAGGAGCCAGTCGACTACTAGCAAGGAGTGCTTGGATCGCGCAACATCATTTGGCACCGTCTGTGGGAACGCTTTAAAAAGCCTTCCTCTAACCTCCACATTCCCTCTCAAAAAATCAGCATTCATGGATTCCTCTAGTAATGCCGGACGTGGTGCCGACCAGAATGCTTCAGGGGAGCAACCCTAGCTCCCTACTGTCTGCATTGGACAGTTCACCGTCCCCCTCTCCACGGACGGAGTTCCCAGCTTGAACGTGCCACACACAGTGGCACTTGTGAACACTCCACTCCCTTCCACGGTTGGAGCAACCTTCACTGAACCTTCCGTTGTTCCCCCAATCAGCAACCAAAACCAGCTTGAAGACCTGGTGTAGTGCATACGAGCCTTGCAAGTTCAAATGCAATGGTTCCAGCAGTTTCAACTCTACCAGCAGCAAATGTTGCATCAAGTTTCTCAGTACCAGTACCAACAACAGTTTCCTTCACTGCCTCAGGCCCAATAGCTGCTTCCCCCTTGGCATCCGGTCTCGAAGCAAGCCAAGCCCTCCCGCCAGAGCGAACAACCTCACCGGGGAGAGGCCTCTTAAACCCAGAATCCTTCCAAAAGCCAAGCCTTGTCCCACGATAGGAAGGAGAGACCAGTCACCCCCGCCTCACAGCCTGCAGGTAGGTCGGGGGCCTCCTAGCCGGTTAGGCCCGCATCTCCTCAGCGCTCTCAGTTCGAGCTCCCGCTCGTAGAAAACCAGTTCGAGGTCCTAGCCGCAGATTACAGGCAGGGCCCTTCGGTTCACAGCTATCATCAGCAGTCCGAGCCCATCGAGCTCGGTAATACTGAAGCCAGCAGCACCAACGTCGACCCGACGAAGCAGCAGCAGAGGCGCCAACGAGCTCGCCGAACCTTTACCCGCGTCCTGCCCGAGCACAAGGGTTAGGAGGAGGTAAGCTTAGATGAAGTAAAAGCTACTCCTCTCCTTTCAGTCCCTTCCCCTCTGTCATCAGAACTTCTTGCGGTCCCTATGCCAAAGGACTTCAAGCTCCCTCCACTGGATAAGTATGATGGATCCTTCGATCCGAATGATCATGTGGATGCCTTTCAATCCCAGATGCACCTGGCAAGAGCCAGTGAATCTTGTATGTGTGTGGCCTTCTCCACCACCTTTAAAGGAGTGGCCCGCACATGGTACCAAAATCTTGCGCCCAGATCGATAAGAAGTTGGGCGCAGTTTGTGCAAATCTTCACCTCCCATTTTGTCACCAACAAAAGATGCCCAAGAACTCAGGAAAGCCTCCTCGACATAGTTCAGAAGGAAGGGGAGTCCATTCGGAGCTACATCAAGCGGTTCAATGACGCTTGTTTACAAATACCCAATCTGGACCCATATAGAATTCAAGTGGCACGTGGTTGTCAATCAGCCCAAGACCGTGACCGAGTTCCTCAAGCTCGCGGATCGGTTTATAGGTATGGAGGAGGAGATCAACTAGATGGGCGAGCAGGCCCTCGAGAAAAGGAAAAGGGAAACAAAGCCCTCAACTCAGGGCGATAGCAAGAAGAAGTAGGACCAAGCCCGGGGGGCAAAGCCGAGTCAGCCTTTCCGAGCTCCAGCAGTAGAGAGGACGGACTACACACCCCTCAACGTGAAGCAGGCCGTGATCCTCATGGCGATCAAGGACGCCCCGTATGTGAAGTGGCCACCTCGGCTAAACGCCGATCCTCGTGTAAGGAATAAAAATTTGTATTGTAGTTTCCACAAAGACCACGGTCATAGCACTGAAAATTGTAAAAACCTCCGTGACGAGATAGAGGAGCTCATCCATCGCGGATACTTGAAAAATTTTGTACAAAATAATAATAATAGTCAAGCAGGTCGATAGGGGGAGCAGAATAGAGATGCTCCCAAATCCAACAGGCAGGCAGGGCAACCGCAGAGGCAGCCCTCGGAAGAGAGACCAGTTCGGGGGACCATCCACGTAATCGTTGGAGGTTCGATTGTTGCTGGCTGTACCACAGCTGCAGCTTGGACATCAGCTCGCGAGGCCTCCAGGGAAGAACAGAACTCATCGAAGCAGCCAAGGACGAAAGATCCGATCTTCTTCACAGAGGATGGCGCACGCGGGGTCCACTACCCCCATGATGACGCGCTCATCATAAAGGTAAAGATCAACGACTTTGAAGTCAGGCGTGTCCTCGTCGACTCGGGCAGCTTGACAGATATCCTCTTCAAAGCAGCCTTCGACCAACTTCAGCTCCAAAAAAGCGACCTGAAGCCCGCAAATACTCTCCTGGTAGGCTTCAGCGAAGAGGAAGTCAGGCCCCTGGGAAGGATCATAGTACCTGTGGAAGTCGGCACTTGGCCTAGCATAGTGATGCTCAACCACGATTTCTTAGTGGTCATAACCCCCTCCCCGTACAATGTCATAGTAGGTCGGCCGATCACCCATGCTAGGCTCAACCACGATTTCTTAGTGGTCACAACCCCCTCCCCGAACAATGCCATAGTAGGTCGGCCGATCACCCATGCCCTACGAGCTGTGGTCTCCACTTACTATT